AGAATTTGGGAGCAGCAGCTGATCCATTGTCTGATATGCTGCAGAGTGTCTAATCCCTTCTGCGGATGGCAGGGACCAGAGCCGTTGGTGCCAGCACTTGGGCAACTGGGGATTGTAAAGCCGGCTGCAGAAGTTTGACAGGCTCCCGCCTGACTCGTTACAGAGGCACACTTGAGGCTAAAACTCTCGGCATGGATTCTGGATGCCTTTGATGAGAAAGCACTTACCCTGGGGTTGATGCAGGCGTCTTGGCTGCCGTCCAGTTCTTCTGCCAGATGCCTTGGTTTTATTGCTCCTGGACAGTCATTTTCCTGAGATGCTGCTGGCCTGCAGATCTATCTCTGTGTCGTCAGAAGAGCTTATAAAAAGACAGTGAGGCAGAATTAACCAGAACATTTCCAAGGAAAACAGACAGCTAATCCACTCTGTAATCAGCACTGTCCCCTGTTGCAGTTCAAAATATGCAAAACTATCATCAGAATCTCTTTGCTTGGGCTGTAGAGACAGTCCTTGTCTCTTCCTCCCCTTCCCTTCTCTTCCATTGTGCATTTTGAGCTGGGAGAGGCATGGTTTGTAAGGATCTGCAAGAAAGTCTTTAAAATTTATAAGAACAAACATTTTTGTTGCAAAATACTTCTCCAATATGTGTCTGCCCTGCCTCTACTATACTTCATAAATAGTTGAGCTGTATTCAGGTGAACTGTCAGCGAAGCCAGTCAAGTAAATAACCATCTCGTATTCTTCCAAAAGAGCTGCACTAACACTGTGTGCGTTTCTGCAGCAGTTGGTACCACCCAGAAAAAGTCATGCTTTGAATGGCAGATGCTGCTCTTCAGTACAGTGCTGGCATCATGAAGAATATGGCAATGAGTAGCCAGTCCCTTGAAAGGGATTAGTTGGAGCTGGAATGCCCCAAAACATCTGCCCATCACTTCATATACCAATAAACCACATACTCGAATCTATATTGAATAATTGCACTGGTTTAAAGTCCAGCTTCTCTTTGTGTTCCACCATTTTGACTCCAGTTTTAGAACTGAAGAAGCCATTTGTGGCTGGGGGTCTGATATAGCTCGCCGGCCCCCCCCGGTCAGAAAACTGTTAGGCTGAGGGGATTGCAGGCAGCAAAAAGAACAAAGCCAAGACGGTCCCAGTTTCTAATGCCAGTGAATTCTTTGCCTTTAGCCAAACCTAGTTAAAGTGTATCTGCCTTGCTTTAATTGCTGGGTTTTTTTGCTCTCTTCCTGGCTGGCTATAGTGTAGAACAGATGTGCCAGGGCAGCATCAGTCTAAGTTTTTCCTTTCCCTCTGCCCCTCCTTAAGTAGGATCTTTTCTTCCAGGTTTGGCTTCCAGTTACCAGAAGCAGAATTGCTCCTCACACTTTCAGTTTCTGATAATAGCATTTTTTGTCATTATTTCATCACTTCAAATTTCAAGGGAAGCTCCTTGCTGTATTAGGAGAATTGGAATTGCATCACCAATGGCCTCCTCAGTCCAGTACCCCATCTCTGACAATGGCCAGCACCAGCTGCTGTGGAGAAGCATGAAGGATCTTCATGAATAATTATGGAAAGACATGCCCAGGCAGGGAGCTTCTTCTCAGCATCAAGCAGGCAATGATTGCTTTGTATCCTACCAGATTGTTTACCTGCTCACTGTAGCTGCGTGTGTTTCCATTATTGATATGTGTGTCCAAGCCCTTAACTTAGCTGGGGCTTGATCCCTTGTTGTAGAGAGTTTCACAAACTGAGATGTAGCCATGTGTTTTAAATGGTCATTGAATCTCCTTGTCCTTGTATAATGAGAGGCTAAATAGGAGCACTGATGTTGCCTGCTCTGTCTCATGCTGCCAGGTCATGTGTCAGACAAAGTAGCTGCTTAGACTTGGATGTCAGGAGTCAACATCCAATGGGCGGTTGGATGTCATTAGTTTGCATTCGGCACAGCACAGCTAAAAAGGGTCACTTAGAGGTTGCTGTTGTCTCCTGATGCACAGAATGGTGACTCAAACTCTATAGTGTAAATGTGACAAACTTCAAACGACTGAGCAGGTAGTAAATGCCTGCCTGGAGGATTCCTTTCCTGGAGGAGTATTGGAACTTCCCATGGCATTTCCTACAGCGCTTGTATGGCTAGCAAACCTCAGTCTTGGGCTGTAGTTGTTACTGTTCTCTATATGAGAGAGGTGGGCGTAGTATAGTAATTTTATTGATGCAGCAATGCACCAGCGATCTAGCAATGGTCTCTGTCCAGGGTGCGTACAGTGTAAGGAGTTAGATGGGCATCTTCAGCGGTTTGACCCTCCCATGGCTTAACATGCTGTCTGCGAAGGATCCAGTCCAGACCTAGTAGAGCAGGGGACCGAGTGAGGTGCCTTCAAAATGAATTAGCAGGAGTGAGTGGGGAAAATAGATTGCAGGGACCCCTGGTTCACCATGAAAGTACTGTGCTGAAACGAGAGTTTTACTAAATTCACATTCAAGTAGTAAAAAGGATCATTCTAGCCTGCCTGCTGCTTTAAAAGAAACCCAGGTTTTATTTATTTCGTATGTAATAAGTGACCCAACCACTGCCTGAGAGATGAAACTGAATATACTTCATCTGTCTGTATCCTGCCATGCTTGCAAAGCATTGTACTAGCATACGCACACTTCTTTCTAAAATCTTCCAGACTCAATTAATTATATTTTGTTATATACCCTTTCCTGTGGTTCTTCTGCAAATCCCTACTGAAGTGCATTGGCTAATTAAGATTCAAGCAAGACGATGGTTATGATCTGGTGGAGCATTCTTGTAGAGCCACTGCCAGTGAAAATTGTGCTGGATCGGCAGGCCATAGGACACATTGATGCACGAGATGCCAGTGTACCCAAGAAAGCTGGCAGAATGCACACCTGGAAGCCAGAGCATTGTTCCAGGATATTGTGGGGACCTTAATTCAGCCAGAACCAATCTACTGAAAACAGCATCATGCAGAAATGTTTGCAAACAAATGTAACTGTGATGTGGCAGGAAATATTGAGCAGGCAATCCTTAGCTGAGCAGAAAAAACTTTAAAGATGGCTGAAGGGATGGATACCTTCCTGGGTTCAGTTTTTCAATGAACTGTTGAAAGCTGTGGACTGTGTAGATGAGTGGTTTGGGTTTTTTTTAATTATTCATCCCTTGCGTTAGTTAAGATGCTCTTTTGAAGCAGGAAAGGAACTCAAGAGCTTTGTTCTGATGTTTTGAGAAAAGATGTCTTTGACACCAACTCCTTCACATTCCTCTTCTCCTTTCTCTGGCTGCAGTAGGTGGTCCTTTACATTGCTATAGGAAAGGAGTGATTACCACAGCTAGATAAACTATGGGCTTCCAGTTGAGGCTGTGTATCGAAGGACATTTCACCCCATCAAACTCTTGTCTTTAAGTGTTCATTCATCTGGTCATTCCAGTGGCACATGAATGTCCCATGTGCTTGAAGGCAGTCTTTCCATTCAACATTGCCCTCCTATTAGCCATGCATGTACCCTGGGGATCCTTCTGCTCCTATCCGTTGAGGCAAAAAGACCTCAGGGAGGCATGCAGGCAGACTTTGTCATAGCTTCTGCCAGCCCATGCTTTAGTGAGTAATGCATTGGTTCTCTGATGGAGCACACATGGGGTTGTGAGACGGCCGACCTCTGTAGAAACATATTGGAACGTACAGCGGTTGAAAGGTCTATATCAAGTTCCTACCATTGACTCGGGAGCCAGCTGGTCAAATGATAGTCAGTACCATGATGCCCATGTTCATATAGCCAGACAAAAGGAAGTCAGATCATCCCTGGCATGCCAGGAGGCAGCATGGAGCGGGTGAATTCAGCATCAACATTGGTAGCCCTAAGAGTGGGATCTCCAAGAACTAATATTCTGACAAAAAAGGCTATATGGTGACAGGAATTCTCAGAGATGTTTTCACAGGTGCACACTCCAAAATGTGCTTTTTTCCTTGCTACTGCAGAGTCCTGGAACCCTGACTTCTCTGATGGGGAGGGAGTAGAGGGTCCATTGGGCCATGCTATTTTTCTCTTTATGCCCTTGGAGTGGTTGCATGAGAGCATAGGCATAGTTCTGCTAGGCACCACTGGCCCAAAGAGTCTGCTTCTGAGCGTGTGGTAGATTATTGCTTGCATACATGTGCCCCATCCTGAGTGAGTGGCTTTTCTACTTTACTAGTGCATTTTTAAAGTTGTGACTGAAATGCATGTGAGGGGCTGTGTTACACTGTAAATGAAGGTAATGATCTCTTGTCTGCAGACCTGGGTTCAAATCCCATGTTAGTTCATGGCTAAAAATGGGGTTTCTCTTTTTCTTTTTAACTGCTTCTCATAAAACTTTTGTGTTACTCTGATTTATCTTGTACCTACGGATGTTAGCTGATGCGTAGGTTAGTGGTAGCACACACTTGATAGCTGTCTTGTTCATGAAAGGTCCAAGACCAGTCCCCTTGGTGTAGGGTGTGTCAGAGCAGAGGTAAAGCAGGGTTTGCATGGGGAAGGGCCTGATTTCCGGACTGAAATCACAGGGGGTGGATGTGGTTGGAGCAGAGATGCTTGGGAAGGACTGTAGAAGGAAACTGAACCCTTTCCCCACCTTTATTTAAGCTGTGGTAACTGAACCAAAAATTGAACAAGACTTCCAGTCCTCGTCTTGTATTGCCTTATTGAGGTGGTGATTAAAGGTGTGTGTTACTGCAGTGCCCTGAGACCCAGACAGTTCTACAGTCTGTTGTGCTGGGTGGAGAAGGGGGTGCAGACAACTGCATGTCACACACGTCAGCCTCATTATGCTCCTCAGCATGGTCGTTATTAATTGGCCGGATTTTTATTGGTGTTGCAGAAGACAAGGGTCTTATAAAGGAGATAGCTGTTGTCTCATGGATCAATAAATACAGACATTATTCTTTCCTGTATGTACTGAAATGACTTGCACTTCAAACCAAAGGACACACTTTGTACCCCTGAGAGTACTAACAACCAGATCTATGGATTTATCTTACAGATCATCAAAAGATGTGCTATTCTGCACTGGTGCTGGCAATGATATTCTCTATGGGAGAGCCGCTGCCATATCATCACTACGGTAGGAATTGGAGTCACTACAGAGAGAAAAAGCCGATACCCAGGCATCCTGCAGGGTTTTCTGGTGGTCCAGTAGCTAAGGAGAACCAAGTTTCTCTTACAGCATGGGGGAGGGCTGCTGAAATACTGGACTACAATGATCCTAGATCTTGAGGGAGGGGAGAGCAAACAGGTGTGGAAACAGCTTTGCTACCTGCAGGGATGATAAGTGCTGTTACCATGTAAGTCTTCTGCAAAGAAATCTGTTCTGCTCTTTGTTAATGCTGCTGCCTGGCTGTCCCCTGCTCACCTCTGCCTGCTAAAATATTGTCCTCTCCTTGCCTTTTATGTAATAGAAGGGGATAGAATTTGCCTTCCTGTCCCCTGTAGCACTGATGTTGTTAGTCTGCCTGACGGTGTCAGACTTGGAGCAAGGTATTGCTTTCAGGGGGTCACCAAAGCGGATCCTAGGGAACTACCCTGTGGTCACTTCCCGTTTTAACAGGAAGGGGCATGTACAGACCGTGGATCCTAGTCCAGAGTTCCACAAGGATTTTTGGCTCCAGGTTGAGCACTGCATGCAGGGATCTGTAGCCTCAAGTACTCTAACTTTGTTCTCAGTAAAACACCCCCTTGCATTAGTCTGCCCTACGGAGTGGAAATTAGGCTGAGTCCATGATAGCAGGGGCCTGGACTCCTTGATCAGGGTTGTTTGTTTCAGTCCTAAATTCTTGCAGGTTGTGGTACAGTCCTCATCTGGGCATATTGGGATGCCTGCAGCTTTAGATTTTTTGAAGCTACCTCATAACTAGACCCTTCAAGCTTGTTTTCAATGAAAGCAGAGATCCTTGAGAATCAACAGGCAGATGCCAGCTGTGCTGTTGTCTTTTGAACCCCATTTTGGTACTTGTTAACCTCTTACTCTTGTGCAGCCTTTGTCTCCCAACTGCATTCCCTTTTCTCTCCCTCTCCTTCCTTCCCCCAAACGCACAGATATGCCCTTCCACTTTGCTGGATCCAGATGTGCTCAGTGTTTGGGAACCACTGACCTTTGTTTTCTATGGCTGCTGTGGAGAGTTTTGCCAAAGAATCTCCTTAGCAGGTTCACTAGACCCTGCGATAAATGTGCAGGCTTTGGAACCAGTACTGCAGGGACCAGGGATGTGAATCGCTTTGTTCAGGCTTCTGGAAATGATTGTTTTGCTCCTTTAGCATGACCCTGGTGGTTATTTCCTGCAGGTGGACTTGTTTGCATGAGCCAGGAAGCCTCCCTAATAGCTAGATTAAAACATGAGCTATTACAAAGGATTTGGATTAATTTTTAAATAGACAAACCAAACCACTAGGTAAGAATACAAATCTGTGCTGGTGATACTTCAGTGGTTGCTGTGATGCTGGTGCAGGTTCTGGGATTTCATTCACTCAGGAAACCAGCCAGTTGGTTTCTTGCTTGTAAAAGGTGGGTTATGTTTTCTGAGCTGTTTGTATCTCCCACCACAACGATCTCACAACTGGCTGGATCTAGTCCAGCCTGCTGGTGGGAGTAACTCCCCTGATACATGATTTATCAGCACTGTGCATCAACTTTCCCTTTCTTCTCATGTACAGAACACCTTAACTCACAGTTTGTCCAGTTCTTGTTGGAGGTGATCGAGGATGGACTGCCCTCGGACACAACAGATCAGCTGCCTGACTTATTTGTTAATGTTCTGCTGGCCTTCAATCTCCACATTCCTGGTTAGTGATGCTCCTGTCACAGGTCCTCGCTGTCACAGATGAGAGCAGGGGAGGTCCTAGAACCATGGGTAGCATTGTGTTAACTGACCAGATGCCCTTCTCTTTCCAGGTGTGTGTGATGCCCTCTCCTGGACTCCCAGGGCTTTGATAATAGGTACTGAGTAAGGTCATAGACAGGGAAAGAATTCCTTTGGAGGAGGGGTTATACTGATCATCAATTAAAGAACCTGTCTATGAGGACATGGTGCCTTGCTCCTCTGCTCCCCAATACCTCTGCTTATGGTTGAGAAGGAACAGCAAAACTCCAGCTTGGACTCTCAAGCTGAAAGATGGTTGTGATTAAATTAGAGCCTGTAACAAACTACTTAACCTGCCTGGGTCCAAGGGATTATTGCAGCCTCTGGGGGTTTTTTTTGTTTTCCCCACCACTCTCGCAGTTGCATGGTTCTTTTCACACCATAGAGAGAGGCAGTTAGCCATGTTACACTGAACTGCCTGACTTCAGACTGTCTGATGAAGTGAACTCAGTTTCACAAAAGCTCATGTTCTCTCTAGATGTATCTTATTTATTTAGGCTATAAAGTGCATATCTACCCTGCCTCTTCATACCGTGCCACATGCCTGCATGGGTTAATGCCACAGAAATACCAAATTTAGGAGCAGTAACACTTTCAGTGGGTGCTTAACACCTCTGTGCCTCACCTCCTGGGGGTTTGGTAGGACTGCTGGTTAGCCCATCTGGGCCTCCTGAATCTCACTAAGGGAGATGTGGTGGGGTCTGTCCTGGCATCATTCTTCCAGTCAGCACATTCTCCTGGATGCTTTGGTACCTGCAATGTTGAGCTACCTAAGAATGGGCAAAGCCATTGGCTGCGAAGAAGCCAATGCCTGCCTGCCCTGCCAAACCCTGCCTGCCACTGCTGCTTGCAGTTCTGAAGTTAGTCCATAGGCCAAGTGCAATGGTAGGCCCTAGTATAGGATGCCACTTGTTAGTCCTGAGCTGATCTGTGGAATCTCTTGCTGCTTGGTCATAATTATCTTGCATTAATTACTTGCCACTGTTCCACATGATGCCTTTATCCTTGGCTTCACCAGGAGGAGAGGAGGAAGCAGCGAGAACACATCCTGGAGTTCAGCTGGTCATTGGAGTTGTTTCATTAACATTCATGTGGAAGTTTCCAATTTGTGAAAGTTTCTCACTCGGAGACTGAAGTGTGTTCTCTGCTTACCACTTCTGACTGTTACCTGATGCATTGGCTGGCTTCAGTAATTAGGCAATAATGCATGAAAGGCAGTGCGTTTCTGGGGGATTATTGCCCACCTGGGGTGCAGTTGAAAGCAGAGCAACTTGTCCTCCAATTCCAAGAACTGGCTAAGTGATGATTGGGTTCCTTATTAGCAGGTTGAATTTTTATTCCCAGGACTTTAGGAGATCTCAGAATATTTGCAGTTGGCTGGTGCAGTGTTAGGTCAAAACTGTTCTGCGGATCAGTTGATACATTCAGGTTATT